AATTTACGATATTGTCCAAAAATACAAACATAGATAGATGCGATGAAATAAAAACAGTTCGTAGAAGTGCTTATGAAATACCTCTGGTCAATTGTTTGTGCTTCTCGCAGTTGATGGAAATTCAGACCATATACGAATACTGGAAACAAAGCATAGTCATCAACATATGTAATCAAAACATGATCATCCAAAACTTCTACATTCTTATCGTTTTGGCATATCTTGCAACAATAGTCCCTTATGATGATGGGAGCTTTTAACGACCTAGACTGGCTATACAGCCCTCGCACGGTCGGCTAAAAAAAAAAAAAAACTTATTCCACATATTATTCTTCTTATAGTACCACATTTAATTAAGGAGTTAATTTATACTATACGATAAATATTAGTACAGGTAAATTGGCGCAAATGAATTCCAAAATTCTCGCAATTGATACCTTTGAAAAATAATATTTGGCGCAAATGATACATCTTAAAAATAGCAATTGGCGCAAACGGACTGCTGCCTCGTACTTTGACTCCTAGTCCGACAGTTATTGTAAATCTATATTAATAAATAATACTCATTCATTTTAAATAGGTTATAACTTGTGTGTACGTATAATAAATAACTCATTATCTTTTGTTGGTGCCGAGTAGATGTCCGGCAAATGATTGTTATTAAAAAAAGGGGCATATATAATTGAAAAATTTTGACTTAATTAAAACATACATACACTCAAAAAGATAAAAGATAATTAGGAAAAAAATATATTTTGCAAGACTTTTCATGGAAAAACCATATGATTGATAGACAGACACGACAAGACAAATATTTTATTAAAGTCTCACCTCATGTACATACATACATGTATAAAACATAGATATATATAAACAACAGCGTATACATAAGCCACTCTATAAAGAGTTATGAGAGACTGATTAAAACACATATACATAAAAGAAATGTATATACAAGCATTAAACCTATTTGTTACATCGACATATATAAAAGGTTAACACCAGCTTATATGATTGATTGTGTTTTATTAACCGATTTTCTCAAACTCTTTACGTATACACTTTCTGTCAGGTCTTAATACTAAATATATGTGAAACACACCAACAAACAAATTGAAGCCTCTTAGAAATCTACCATACATAACTCTCCCTCCAATTCAGCGTACACGTCTGAAATAACAAAGAGGCAATGCGACACTTTTTTAAAGAGCCATATTGTCTTCCGCAGAATAAAAAAAAAGTCTTTGTTTATGATTACTTTAGTTTTTTCCGTATCCAAAAATACAAAAACAATTGTATTCACATAAGCACTGTGTAGCATCAACGCCGGATATAGGTACCCAGAAGCAAAGAAATAGTTGTTCAAGCTTAAATATAATATCATTTTGTTAAACCAAAGCGTCAAATAAATAGTTGAAGGATAAATGTGTTTTTAAAAAGTTTGAACTCGTCACATGCTTCTTTGAACAGGCACCACCCGGTCCGATTCTTACGATTTGAAGAGAGAAAAAGCCATTTAAGGATCATAATTAATCATAAATAGTAGCTACATTATTAGGAACCAGTATCACAATATTTTACTTGTCATCAAAATGTAGAATATAGTGAAAATAAGGAGAATTTGACCTTACCTGACTTTGCATTTGTTTTTTCTACCGCTTCGGTGGTACATAAATCCGGTGGTGATGCTACACAGTGATAAGGGGATTCAACAAACATCAATACATTAATTTTGAAATGTCATAAATGTGATGCACATTTTTAAGCATATAAAATTACAACAATTTTGCTTTACATTACAAAATTATTACCCCAATCCTTTTTAAAAGTGAAAATCTTTATCGAATTTTAAATACTTTACTCATTTTACAGTCAGAAAATAGCTAGTTTCGTTCATGCATAAGAATAACTTTTGTTTTGTACAATACAAGTGATACAATTAATATAATTGATATAAGATCATTTGAAGACAACGTGAAACATTGACATTTTCTGATTTTCAGACTTGAGTGGGGGGCTGGGGCTGGTTTTTATCAGACTGTAATATCTTTTAAATACAAAGATATAATTTTGTAAATACAGTGTATTCCAATTCGTCCCTAAACTGAACAAGAGGTATTCTAACCTTTAATTGCTAGATCGTCCAACAGAATGATTAAGATCTTTATGAGATCAGCTCGCCGATTGCGCAGCTATCAGTTTTTTTTTCATCTTATGACCGAAAAAGAAAAAAAGGAAAAGTCTGTCGCATATGGCATGATGTGGTTCTTAAGTGTTTTTCGTTTCTCGTTTTTTATATAGATTAGACCGTTGGTTTTCCTGTTTGAATGGTTTTACACTAGTCATTTTTGGACCCTTTATAGCTTGCTGTTCGGTGTACATGTGAACCAAGGCTCCGTTTCGAATGCCGTACTTTGACCTATAATTGTTTACCTTTTACACATTGTGACTTGGATTTAGAGTTGTCTCATTAGCAATCATACCACATCTTCTTATTTCTACTTAAATCAGCAAAGACCCAGCGAAACAACATCTGATACAAAAATTTAATAACAATTTTAGATATTTGGATGATATTTTAGCTCTCAATAATGACGACTTCAGTATGTACACTAAAGAGATTTATCCTGTTGAACTTACTTTAAATAAAGATAATACTAACACTGAACATTGCCCTTTCCTGGATCTTGATATCTATATCTCTTACGGGAAGTTTTATACTAAAATTTACAATAAAACAGAATATTTTTCATTTCCTATTATTAATTATCCTTGGCACCATCTTATGATGTTTATATATCTCAACTTGTTCGATTTGATCGTGTATGTAACAACGTATTTGTGATTTTAACGAAAGAAATCTCTGTATTACTGAAAAATTATTACACCAGGATTTTCGATATCACAAACTTGTCAAAACTTTTACTCAATTTTATTATCGGTATTATGAAATCATTCGTAAATATAAATCAGCGTGCAGATACCTTATTAGTTCGGGTATTTCACATCCCATCTTTTATTGGAATATTCTATACAAAGCACAGAAATGCCGTCATTCACATCAATAACTAACCAAACCTTTAAACAGACTTATTCACAGGTGATATAGTTACGACACTGTTGTCACGTCATTAAAGATGGCATTTTTTGAATTAATATTGATTAGCTCATTTGGTCTTTGCATAGGAAATAAACACATTTGTTCTAAAACCAGTTGTTGGCATGATACGGGTTATGTTTTCTTGTATAATTGATGATGGTATGATACTAAACCCCTAACGGGAGGGATTATGGTTGATCTTCATATGATGAAGACAAAATCTTTCAATCATTTTAATTGAAGTCAGGAGCTGGCATGTTAGTAAGTGTGATAGTAGTCCTTTGAGAATTTATGTTGATCGTTGTCATTTTGCTCATTTTCTTCTGTTACTCATTCTAACATCGGACTTGGACTTCTTTTAAACTGAATTTGACTATGCGTATTGCTGTGTCTTTGTTTATGCCACATTGTCTAGAGGTATAGAAGAGGGACGAAGGATACCAGAGGGACAGTCAAACTCATAGATCGAAAACAAACTGACAACGCCATGGCCAAAAATAAAAAGACAAACAGACAAATAATAGTACAGATAACACAACATAGAAAACTAAATACTAGGCAACACGAACCCCACCAAAAACTGGGGTGATCTCAGGTGCTCCTGAAGGGTAAGCAGATCCTACTCCACATGTGGCACCCGTCGTATTGCTTATGTTATTACAAATCCGGTAAATAGTCTAATTCGGTAAGTCACATTCGTGAAAAGGGAAGGGTATTGTAGTTACGACATAAGGAACATATCCGATATCATCCGTGAAACGGTTATTCCATAACGGTCAACCAACTCGTGATGGCGTCCGTAAAATTTACGAAGGGATGATTTCAACTTCACCATTTGGAACTCTTGGTTTAATAGCTTCCTTTTGAGCAGCAATCCTCTATCAAGGAAATCATGATAGGAAATACAAGCCCGGGAATATCGTATCAATTGGGAGATATATACTCCGTTTGCAGGCGCTGCTGGAATGTTGCTACATAGAAATGGCAAGTTCACAATTGGGAAGCTGAAATCATCTCTTTTGTCGTAAAGTTTTGTTTTCAACCGACCCTCATTGTCAATTTCTATATGTAAGTCAAGATATGAGGCAGACTTAACTGTATCTGTAGTATCCTTTATCTCTAGTTCGATGGGATAGATTCGTTCAACATAGTCACCAAATTTTGTATTATTTAGTGAGAGAACATCATCTATATAGTGGAACGTAAAGGTAAAGGATATTGCTAACTTCTTATCTTTCTTCCTAAGAAGTTCCTGTATGAAGTCAGCCTCATAATAATAAAGAAACAATTCGGCAAGAAGAGGGCACAATTGGTTCCCATAGGGAGGGTTGACATCTCACAAAACATGTTTAGCCCCGACGCATTAATTTTTGCGTCTGTTTCAAGTCATGAACATCTAGCCTTTGTTAACAGTGTGTGTTTTTTTTCATTTTGGTTCATTTGTATGTTTCGGACTTTAGTATGGCGTCCATTTCGCTTAACAAGAATACATTATTAATTAGGGGCCAGCTGAAGCCCGCCTTCGGGTGCGGAATTGTCTCGCTGCGTTGCAGACCTATTGGGGCCTTGAGTTGTTTTTTGCTCTTTGGTCGGGGTGTTGTCTCTTTGACGCATTCCCCGTTTCTATTCTCTTTTCTAGAATACAACTAATTGCGCTGAAATTTGAGCTTATAATGATTATTAAGTGCTTTTGAATAACAAAGAATTTCAAATCTAATCCCAGTTTACTAATTCGTGCAATATAAGTTGCAACTTTGATATTCAACATAAAATAAAGGTCTGATTCGGACCCATGGTAAATGAAAAGAACACTTTCAAAACTCTGGTCGATACTTGTTTCATTTTCAATCATACCACATCTCCTTATTGTTATTATAATATGATCTTTATGCATTTTATTAAATTTTTATTGAAAGACACAACCAAACACACATGAATACACACGGCACGTGTATTAGATCACATTTATAAAATCATTTGATATTCCGAAAATTCAAGTCGACTGGATTGACTGTTCTTGTGAACTGGATTGCTGTGATTGTGAATTTGATGTCGTCGTCGTCTGTTGTGATGAACTTTGGGTTGGGTACTGTTGATAAGACGGCTGATCTTGGCAGCTTTGTGCTGGGTAACCAGTCTGCACATTCTTCGTGGTGCCATAATATGGAGGTGGTGCTGTTATACTTGGATAGCCTTGATTAACATATCCTTTAAATGAAACAAAAAGCTAAAATTATACATCATATAAAATAAATAATTCTTAATATATTTAGGGGGGCATACATTAGTTAAGAGAGTCAACTCCTTAAATCGGTAATGCGTTTGTAACGGACAGTTTCTTGAATGCTTTTTTAAACATTAATATGATACCGAACAACAGAAATCTATGTTAAAATTTGTCGGCTGACGCCAACGCTCCAGTGATTTTCAAGAATTATTCCTTTAACATAGGATAGGTGCATCCTAAGTTTTATGCATTAGGGGTATTCGATACTCACTTTTTTCGATTTTTTCCTCAATATTAAGTAGTCCCTGGCTTTTAAGTACATGAATTATTAATGGCAAGGTTCGTGTTTTGCTTAAGAAACCCTTAACATGATTTTGATTATATGACGTAGGTTGTGCAGATTGCATTATATTAAAGATATTATATAAATAACACATAGCTGAGAGGGTGATAGAGCAGATTTGTTACCCCGAGAAAACATTGTCAACTGAGGCGAAGCCAAGGTTGACAATGTCTTTTCGAGGGGTAACAATCTGCTCTATCACCCTCTCAGATATGTGTTATTTAATTTATTATACTGAATGTTCTGTTATTACTGTCGATTAAATTTCAATTCAAAGTAATAAACTATGACGTCTTGTACATAACAACCATCCGTATTTAATAAAGCGCACACTTGATCAAGCGTCTTCACGAAGGGTAATAGAGTATTTGCCATAGGATAGAGTCGTATTTAATAAAGCGCACACTTGATCAAGCGTCTCCATGAAGGGTAATAGAGTAAATTAACACCCTCGTATTAGCCAATCAAAATATGGCATTTAAACGTGAAGTATAATAAAGTATACTAGTATCACACTTTAATCTAGTCAGTGGTTTAGGTTAATATTGATACAAAGTAAGGATGAACGAATGGATGAACCAACAAACGAACAGACCAACGAACAAACGAACGGACACAACAACCCCTAGTATAAACACCTACTTCACAAATGAGGGAATATCAACTGCGAAGGAATAATGAATTAAATGAAAATTTGACGTTTTAATCAATAAATTAAGAATAAAAAAAAATCATACAGAAATATGTTATAGCAGAGCAACTAGGAAAAGAGTATTTGTCTTTTGGACGAAATAACTCAGATACCTTACCTGCCATTGGACGACTTCTTCTTCTAAATGCCACGATGACAAGCACTATGCAAACCAATGTAATAAGAAGTACGCCTCCTACAGCGCCTCCGATAATAAAACCCAAAGTATTGGCAACTATAAAACAGAAACAAATTGGTAAGACATTGGATGTCAAATAGTCCACTCAATTAGAGGAAATAAAACAAGAGGTGCATATGAATGTGTGTCATTAATCTTCATTGTTTATGTTGCATGACACACCGAAAATGCAACTAGAAATGTTGTATTATATATCGAATAAGGACCCCTCCCTCGGCCTTTGTAAAAACCAAACTGATGTTATTTTACTTATATATAATAAATTGTTGGTGCTCACTGTTGTCCTTTTTATAAAATGGGACAAATCACTGTTAAATGTCGATATAATATTTGGATTCGTATGAAAGTGACAGCTGACAAATCAGAAGGAAAACTTGTTTAAATGAATTTAATTTTAGATTTCCCAAAAAATTCAAAGAGAATCTATATCATTCAGTGTATACTTACAATTGTATGTCCTGACTCCTCTGACTACTAGTGTTATCTTATCTCCATACTTTACGTCAGGCGCAGTCAGCTCAATGTCTACGTATTCCCCTGACTCGGAGCACCACTCTGTTGTTGGAACATCATATGCGTAGTATGAATATGTCTAAGGTTAAAAAATAATAATTAAATGTACTAAGTGTTTTATTTTTTATATAACTAAGAGAACGCATTTTTATTTGTTGTTTGTTTAGGAAACACATTGCACTGAACAAGTAAACTATATAATGCATTCCTAATAAGTTCTTGCATGGACGGTACAGAATTAGTTCCTAAGAACAGTCTACATAAATGATGTTATCCTTAATTTCTCTCAAGGGAGTAAACTCTAAGTATTGATTATACAACAAGGGTTAAATATGCTAATGTCAAATACTCAAGTGTCCCAAAAACATTTTTTTTCAGTATATAGTCAACTGAACTGAAACCTATAGTTTTCACACCCTATTATCGGCTATCATTAAAATAGATACAATAGAATCTGTGTAATGATTGCCGTTCAAGACAATTGATATTGCTATCGTGTACAGCAAATTTCTGTCTGTCATTCATAGAGCCATTGCAGTACAATGGATTTTGCCATCGCGTACAGCAGATTTTGATGTATGTTACCTTAATCGTGTGCAGTATCGACAGCCGGTAAAAGGGTGTGCAAATTAAATTAGTAAACTATCGCAGCGAGATGTCTTTGGCATTATATTCATGATAAGTTATAGAGACGACTCCTTAAACGTAAAACAAGCAAACTTAAGAGGTAGCCCTTAGACCTTGGTTTAGGAAGATAGCACTTCAAATCAGTAATGCGTTTGCAAAAAAATCTTTTTCGTCATTGTCTTCTGAGCACTCATGTAAAATAGAAGTCAAATAATCAGTGTTACTTGGAAGCTTAGAATTTATTTATAAAAAATGGTTGACACAAACACACCAGTAATTTTTCAGAGTAATGTCCCTTACCCTATGCCTCTGTTCTTAATAAATATTTCGAACTTCTTAGCACGGGATTTTTCTATTAGAACAAGGTGGCAGCGTTTTACAACAATATCTTTATGTTAAGAAAAGTCATGATGTAAGTTGTATTGTTCTATCTCACAAATTAAAGTAACATACCAGTATACAATATCCGTACATTGTAGTAAATTAAATATAAAATGTATTTGTACAAGATTTAGAAACAGGGAGAACAGTGAGGCTCGCCAGTCTACCCAGACACATGATTCCGAATCCGAGCCAACCAGGATTTGCTTTTGCTCTAAAATGATGCGTGCTTGTTAGAGAAGCAGAAAACACCAATTTTAAAATATATATTTTGTTTGATTCAGTCTGGTATCAAAATAAACACTTCCACGTTTCTCTTGAAACGATGTTACCTCCCAGGCAACCAATGTATATTAAATAACTACAAACACTTTTGCATCAGTAACCGATGTATGTTTGTTAACAGGAAGCAAAATACTCATAAACAAAAAGACTTTTCAACAAACCTTTTCAAGAAAATCTGATAATCCAGTATAATATTTCAGTCGGACCTGTGTGTTTTGAATGTTCCATGTTGTTGCCCGAATGCAGACTTTGTATTCATTGAGAGGGTTGTCACTGTCGTATCCATGGAAACCAATTTTACAGCTGTAAGAGGAGACACTATCACCATCCCACGATATCAAATATGACTTATCTTTATTGGTGTCGTAGATATTATATATGTAACAATCATCAAAGTTCACTGAAATTGAGAGAAGATACTTTCTGATACCGTAAGCATCACACACTTGTAAAATGTGCCCTTTATGAAACAATTTTCTGACAATAAAAGATATTATAAAACTATTTCTGGCATTTATGAAAATTTTCGCAGGTTGAAAAAAAATATTGACACCTATTAACAATTTAACTCAACACCTTTTATCAACATTTGAAAAATAAAATAAAAAACATTAAACATTTTTGACTTTTGTATAGGAAAAAATAAATTGGTTTCTAATCTTTTTGAATAATATAACACACAAACAGAAAATAGAGCAAAACTAGTTTTCTTTTTTATTGTCAAAATAGATATCGTTAACAATTAAGGAATGACTGTAATATTTTTTCTGTCTATGAAGAAATAACTTCAAAAATATGGTGCACACTGAATAACTCGCATAGCGGGTTATTTAAAAGTGTGCACCACATTTTTTAGATTATTTCGAATAGACAGAAAAAAACATTAGTCATTCCTTATAATTTAATTCTAAATTCAATTTTTAAGGAGTAAATCATAACGTCACGGTCACATGTCTATGAGCTGATAGACAAAACACTTTCAGCCAATCAGAAGACGTGTTACATCCAACATTAAATTAGTTTAAAGTACATGTACCAGCTGTACCATTAGCGCATGAAGCAATCGGCCTTCTTATTTCGACAATTAGAGTCCCATATTTACCCCCAAAAATTGATTTGAAGATAAGAGAAATTTAAAAGGTGACGCGTACAGATTGGCAGATTGTTATTATATTATGAGATTAAGTGAAAAAAACTTACGCACAAAACACAACAGGTCTGGTATACATAATTTTTAATGAATGTTATCATTGTCTACAATCTGTTATTGTTCAATCACTGCGTCTGGTATATTTTGGCTATTTTATAAGTCAAAACTTGCATAAAACGCATTTTTCTATTTATGTCTGCATTAGAATTCTGTATTATTTGTATTATTTTGGGGAATGGCACAATCATGTGTCTCCTCCGTGTATTGTTTATAATTTTGCTATATATAATATATGCCGAAGTACAGCCACCAATTACGAATGTCAAATACATGTATTACTTCAATTACGCTGATACATGTCTCCTGCAGCAAATTAATAACCTTAAACAGACAAGGAAGATTGAACAGTATATAAAACCTAGAAAAGAGATTTCCGCCAGGTCTCCCCTCTTTAGGATGGGCGAAAGGAATTCATTCACCACCAGAATTCATACTCGTCAAGACCGAAAATATACTATACGATAACGTGCCCGTATGACAATTTGTGAACTTTCGAACAATTGAACATTTGAACTTTTGAAAAATTCTTAAATTTGTATTTACGTAAAAAATTATTATTTTATTCCTAAAATCGACTTCGTTATAAAACAGATTTTTGAGAAAAAAAAAACAGTCACTGTGTCAAACTTTTGCTTTTTTAAAATCCGATGGAATAAAAAAGATAGCAGTGTAAAAATAGTACTTACAAAGATATTCGTAAGACAAAACCGTTCCTAGTAATGTCAACATTATAATATTTACTACGATATACATAGCTCAATCTTTTTGTCTTCTTTTCTACAACAGAAAAAAATAAATGGCAAACGTCCATACGTAGATATGGTGAAGCAAGCATAAGACTTTTATTGAGAATTAAAACTTGTATGAAATAGACGTATTGAATAACGGTTAGCCAATTTGTCCCATTTTGTTTTATGGATTGTTTCTTACTCATATATACGACCACAAGCACAATAAGTATGTAGACGCTTCTCCAGAAATATCTTAGATGTAAAAATCTCGGAAATGTTGTCTGCCCTCCTTCCACAACAGAATCTTTTTCTTAATCTCACGATACATGAGGGTTTGGATGGGGATTACAGAATAAGGACTAAGAGAATGATGGAAAAAAGGTGCAGAATAAAAGGGAAAAAATATAAAGAATAGAGAAAAATAGGCCAAAAAATAAAGCACAGAGAATGAAAGGGTGCTGAAAATTAATATAAAGAATAGAGAATAAGGATAAAATAAATAAAGAATAGAGCATAATGGTTTAAAAAGTTAACGAAAAAAGAAATGAAGGACCCCCATCTAGACCCTCATGCATGAATTTGTATCTGAGTCGTTCCTGATTTGAAGTCAGAGGTTGGTTTAGGGGGGGGGGGGGGGGGTAGGGGGCCCGGGGCCCCCCTTATGAAGCTACATTTAAAGTTAGTGCAGACTTTTTTCCTGTTCTACTCCAAATGTTCCTTAGTTTGGGTGCCCCCGCCTCCTTTCAAAATCGTGGATCCGGATCTGGAAATACAATAAGTTGCAGCCAATGTCAGTATCGCTGTGTGTTAAAATTTCCTTTTTATTAAGTTTAAATATTACAACAAAAAAAGATTCCTACCTTATGTTTTCTCTTAACAAGGGACATGTATAATGATTATGTACCTTACATTTTGTTTAATTATAAATCTATTATTATATCTTATGTATCATGTGAGATATGATCCAGTATCTTTTAATTCGTTTGACCCTTATAGAATACAACCTGTACAATTCAACCCTTCAACATGTTTGATTTAGAGTCAGTTACTTACTTGACCTCAGCATGCAATCAGCTTTTATATTTTGATTTTTAAACCAAATGTGAAGAAATATCATGAGGTTGCGCAAATTTCAGCTCCTTGAATATTTTACACAAAATTGCAACTTAACCTTTTCTCGTTGTAAATATAAAATATCAGTCAAAAATAGATATTTGATTTATCTTTAAGGGCACATGTCATAGTTGAGATAAAGAATTTTTCACATGGTGTCTAGATCTTGTGAAATACTAATAAAGGTGTAACAACATATTTGTGACGTACATTGTATCGATTTGAACGAATTATAAAAAGAAAATAATTAATCATGCTAACTACAGCAATGTGTCTTAATACATTGGACGATAGAAGACCAATGAACCGTGACTGCACACTTTTAAATTTGCAAAACACCCAATCACAATATCAATCCTGCCTGGCTATTTTTTGTACGCCCCGCCCATCACACAGAGTGACACATTTAGGGTATAATAAAAAAAAAATGCAAACACAGTTGCACACGTTAATAGAAGCTAGACAATGCTGAAAATTATTCTTTGGGCAAATTTAAAGAATGGACGGTTACTTTAAAAGAGTCCAAATATTTTGTGTCGGAAAATATTGAAACTGTCTCATTTCTACCGGTATGTTTATGACATTGTAGGAAATTTAAGATTTCACCTTCTAGCATCTAATTTTGGTCCGTTATTCGGTGGAATTCTTGTTTTGCAATCTTTATTTGTATTTGAAGGCTACTGTTGTGTGTGCAGTCTTTTCCCATGAGGTTTTCTGTTTTTGTCTTATATTTTGATATTGCTTCTTAGATCTTCTTACTTTTTAAAACTAAAATATCAATACTAATACCAATACTAATATTACCTTTCCTAATCGTAGGTCTCATTACAAGCATATCAATCAAGTAACAGAAAACACCCAAGAAACCCCTGACCGTTTCAATTGGATTATCATAATCAGATTTAATATTTGCATTGTCACCTCAAAAAGTACATGTTAGCAGTAAATGCGCTATTTTCATCACATTCATTTATTTCATCGCACTTGTCATAGAATCAATCATTTTCAAATTTGCATTGTCACTGTAATAAAGTACATTCTTACATGATGTAAGTACTAATCGTAGAAAAAGAAAGTTGATTATTTGCGTAAAAAAATTCTTCGAAGACCCAAGGCTTATAATTTTGTACGTCAGGCGTGCGTTTCGTCTACAATAGGCTCATCAGTGACGCTCGAATAAAAAAGTTGAAAGGCTAATAGAGTACGAAGTTGAAGAGCATTGAGGACCAAAAATTCCAAAAAAGGTTTTGCCAAATACAGCTAAAGTGATCTATTCCTAATGTAGAAAATTCCTATCTCGAACAATTCATTTTTGTAAATAAAAAACCAGTTAATTTATTCATATTACCATATCAATGATAATTCATGTCAACATACAAGTGCTGACTACTTCGCTGGTGATACAATGCACCCTTGGGGAAGAAAACTCAACTAGCAGTGGCATCGACCAAGTGGTTGTAACGTTAAGTTTCTAACCGTTTGCCGGTGATTCCATTTGTAAGTCTTAGATCAATTTTATTTTCATTTTAAGAGCGCTGTGGTGCGTTGTTGTTAGATGAATGTTTCGGTTGGATTTTGTTCTTCTATTTTTTCTTTAGAGACGTCGTGACGTTAGGTATGTTGTCGGTTTTAATTCATATTGTTTTCAGGATGCAGAGCTTACTGCTATTATGGAAAAAAATATTTGTTCTCGATTCTAGTTAGAAAAAACAATAACGTGTAAATATAGCATTGCTAAAAAAGATTGACATAATATGTAATAAAGAGGCGGAAGATATCTAGAGGATATTCAAAATGCATAATTCGAAAACTAACAACGCACTGTCAAAAAACGAAAAGACGAACAAGTCCACAAAAAAATGCATACAAAACTAAGCAACATGCACGAACCCCACCATAAACCGGGGTGAACTCAGGTGCTCCGGGATAAATGGTAAGAAGTTTCTGCTCAACATGTGGCACCCGCCGTGATGATCATGCAAGTACAAATCCGATACAACCGAGGAAAAGAGGCCGGAATTGTGTTCACGACAATTGGAGTGTATCATGAGTTATTTGTGACAAAGATATTCTGTAACGGTCAACTAACTCTTGACGGCGTCTATAAAGCTTTCGAAGGGATGACTTCAAGTTTGCCACTTGGAACCCTTGGTTCAATAGCTTCATTGTAAGGAGCAATCATCTATTAGGAAATCATGATATTAAATGAAATGAAAGCGCTGAGGAATGAACAACAAATGAGAGGCCTTTGTGCTGCTCATTACAAGTAAAATTCCGATGAAAAGTTACCTTCGGGATTGCGGTAACGAAAAAATGGGGTGAAAATTCATTAAAAACTAGGAATATATTATAACATTGTCGTCTGTCCGTATATGCCCACCAAAGAAGCAAGACTCAAAGAGCGCCCGTAGAATTTTTGAAGAGATTACCTCATATTTGCTATTACAAAGTCCCGCTGTTTCCTGTCAACAGCAACCGTTCATCGAACAAATAAAATAAAAAAAAAAAAACACAATCTATAAAACATCGTATAACAGCTGTTAGAGTTTCCAAAAAAATATATAGAATATAATATTTAGGAGTAGAATTGCCATTATAAAAAGTGTAAATATTGCATGATCAGGAGAAAAGTACGTTAGGTTTTTTTTTATATTTACTATCAGCATTCTGTAGCTCGATTTACTACAAACGTTTTTTGTTATGAAACTGTAATTTTACTTTTCTTCAATACCGGACATGCATAATTTAAATATCTTTTTCTGGTTCTCAACTGCATCATTTGTCTTTCCACTGATCGAGATACAGAGAGAGGTTGACATCCAAATTTAATCTATCCCGCCATGATTGCATTGGTCTATTCGAAGTCGGCAACGTGTTGTCGTTTTAGAAGGTTCACCTGTTAAGAATTTTGGTGTTTCAAATGTCGATATAGATTCATTAAAAACCGATAACTAAAATATGGTAAAGGAAAGTCTTATTGATATTGATATTTAGGGATTTATAATTTTTAATCTCCATTACAAGTTTTAACCGTTGTACAGAAGGATATAGAGTTTAAGAATTAAATTTCAATGGGAGGTAACTCCACTGTTAAAAATTTTCTCAGCATCCTGTGAATTTACAAGAAAACGAAATTGGCGACATTTTATTTTGTCGGAATCGTTGTTGTTTTCTTGGTGTTTTTTTTAGGGGATATTAAAATAGACAATAATAGCCTCTTTTCATATATATATATTTTTAAAATTCTATCTTATTTTTTGAGAAGGGAGGCATTAAAATAGTCAATTTTAGCTTCCTTTTTATATATTATTTTATAATTTTAAAATTCACGTTTGTTTTTTCTTTCAAAATGGTGGATTGAGAGAACTGAGTGAGTGGGTCTTGTTAGTAGGATACTTTATAAAAAAAACAGTGACATAATCTTGATATATTTTGTAAAAGGGATGCGACAATAGCGACAATTCATATGTGGGAGAAATTTGAGAGCATGATTCATATTTCAAAATCACTTTGTATTCTCCGGGAATCGAACCCAAGACTTCTGTGTTACAAGGCAGCGCTGTAACAGACTGAGCTAAAGAAGTACTTCCCTAGCTCAACCGCGTACGGCTGGCTAAGTATCTATTATATGTTCTAAGGGAAGCAATCCCGTCACAATTGAGTCTTGTTTACGCAATAACTTAAACATAACTTGACTATAATCATGTTTATATTAGATGCAGGCTTCTCACATCTGGGGGGAGTCAGCACCGAAGATATGAGACGACCATATCTGATTTACCTTGAAGTAATATAAATATCTTTTTTCTTTTCTTTGTTGTTTTAAAAGAGCAATTAGTTTTGATAAAACAGGAAAAGTGTCATTATCTCAAATTTTCCAGATGCAGTAACACTTTTAGAAGATTTTCTGAAGTTATGGATTAGGAATGAAATCATAATTGCGTCTTTTTTTTGTCATCAAATTGAAACCTTATCACTGCATTTGTAGGGCAATACGAATCGCTGTACTATCTAGTCTTTTTCTGGTTTAATTGCCAAAATCTGAACTTTTTGCTGATATGGAAATGATAACGCTTCTATATAATTGTTATAATGATAAGATTTAAGGTATTTTTATCTTGAAAGAAAGAACACATTGGAAATATTCAGGTTTTTTTCCGGTTTACTGAGAATAAATAATTGCATGGCAAAATGTTAACAATGATTATCTGACACCAGAAAATTTCCAAGGTTTTTAACTGCATTGACCTGAAGTTTTTTGCATATTTGTCCTCTGTTCTTCGGTTGGTAGTGGTCTCCTAGACAATCATACAACATATTTGAGTTCTCCTGGTGAAGGTAAATCCAGTAAAGAGCTTCAGACCCACGTAAAATTATAAAGTCTTGTTTTCATTTCTTATTTTTAAACTACGGATTCAGAGCATTTTTTTCTTCAAAAGTTTAAGTCCTATGAAGATCAAAAAAATATTAATCATACGGATTGCCCAGTCAAACGTTAGCATTAGGCGCACTGACAACTACTGTCCCGGATGTAAATTTCGAATTAATACTTCGATTATTGTTGACATGATATATCAAAGATACGGTCATTGTTTTAATGTTCATAAAATGTTGAATTTTTCGATAGACTAATTAAGGTTTTCCTACCCCCGGGCATAGATGGCCGTAGCCAGATTTGGCACATTTTTTGTGTGTTTTTCAATGCTGTTCATCTTCGTATTTTGTTTGTCCTTCTAACAGTTTTGATTCGAGCGCCATTGGTGAGTCTTAAAAAAGACGAAACTCGCTTTATGAATACTTAAGCATTTGCCTGGAATATTTGAAGAATTTGTATGAGGGTGTGGATGGGGGTTTACAGAATAGAGAATTGAGATAAAATATAAATAATAGAGAATAATGATGTGCTAAAATATAAACAATAGTCAATAATGGGCAAACAGTATAAAGAAAGGAGAAAAAAATGACACAAAAAATAACGAATACAGAAATGAAGGATCCCCCATCTAGACCCTCTTGCATGCTTGCGAAATCTTCTTTACAACTGTAAAATATAAACACAAATGTTGCTATCGGTAATATTCTTAAGTACATGTAAAAACGGATTATCATTTCCACTTTTGATTATAGTTAATTTTTAACTTGGAAATAGTAAATAAATTGATTAGTAGTCAGTTATTGTTTGTTTGTCATTATAAACTCTATTAATCTAATAAAATCATCTAATTCCATGGAATCTATCTCAACAGAAAGCAAATTTTCGAAGTTATATATAAATATTTAAAAAAAAATGTAGTGTACAGTCTAAGAGAAATTAGATTTCTAAATGGCATTTATTATTGTTTTTCAGATCTTCCCATGTCATTTGTGAAATTATATTAAGGTCATTGATTGTTCACAAAGCATTATTCTTAGTAACGGTGTTGTATCTCTTATAAAATCCTATTTTGTGATACGCTATGATCCCTCTAAGGATGGAAAGTATCGTAGCAAACACTAACAGATGATTTTAATGAGATTGTAATATTAAAGGTTCTATATGCAAAATGTTATGCTAATCGGTGAAATCGTCCAATCAATTTATCTGTACAATGTACCATAATATTTTCTACTTCACTATTTTTTTATGAAAGAAAAAAAAGAAAAAACACAAATACAAATTAAAAATAATTTGCATTGTTTTTTTCTCAATGCAAAATCCTATAAAGGAATCCTTAACAGTTATAAGTCAAAGTCGACTTCTATGACGAGGAAGTTATTATCACCTTGACCGCAGGTCAATTACGGACTGTCTTGAATTAAGTGGCCATTTTATAAAGTTAACGTGTACAATACATTCATTTTCCATATAAGTAATTAAACGTATACAATGTTGTAATAAACAGATCCGTCCCATGCAGGATCTAAGTGATTAAAGTTAAATAAGTAATGCGATTACAAAAAGGATACAGATGGATAAATATGAATATCAAAAATTGATCTCGACCACAACTTATTTTTTATGGGAACAGTATAGACCGGTTGGGTAAAAAATCATGAAAGGTAAGATCGGCAGTGCACATTTTTGTCATACGCATTATACCCTATTCTCGAATTTAGATATTACCAATTTAAAAAAAAAATGTATATAAAATAAGCGGCCAGTCCGTTATTCGATATTCAATTTCTAATTTCCACATGTGACTAGAGTGTCCGTTAATTGTTTTTTATATATTGTGATATCGAATTTAGATGTTACCAATTTTAAAAATGTATGTAAAATTAGCGGCCAGTCAGTTATTCGGTATTCAATTTCCAATTGTTACTAGAGTGTCCGTTTGTTTTTGTATATCGGGATATCATGTTTTAAAAATACGCCTTTGACTGCATTTCATTGATAAACGTCTATCAATTTTAAAGATAAAAATGTGATTTTCGTAAAGATTTATATATATTCGGGACAATTAACGACAACTTGTAGGGGTCACAAAATGATCTCCAACATCACTTTTTACTCTTTTAAATATGACTATATTTTTTTTTATGTCAACTTAAAATATATTCAAATTTTTTATTACTTTTAACCAAGAAAATTTGAATATCGAATAACGATTAACCGTTACCGGCTGCTATCTTCACATATATATTTAAAAGCCTCGCCCTGAGCATGCAGGAAATATTTGCCACTGGACGTTAATTAAACATAAATCAATCATTTTAAAAGTATCATTTAATTACATTTTTGTAAAATCAAAGTTAAATTTTTATATACATTAAGCGCCCTCCGTCGTAACGTATTATTACATGTATTATTATTATTATTATTATAAAGTATTTATAACAGCGCATTATATAATATGAAAATTACCCTAAGCGCTTTACAACATATATATACTTAAAACTAGTAGAAATATAAAAAAAAAATTAAAGTTCAAAATGCTCTTAAAGTCCTAAGAGCATTTTGAACTTTAATTTTCTATATATATATTTACAACATATATCAATTCACATAAAATTATATATATATTTAAGTATTTACAATAAAATATGAAAACCCATGATAAAAAAATTAGCGCATGAAAAAACGACCACTTATAACTTTTAAAAGAAGAAAAAAAAAGAGACTATACTATTAAATTACTAAACAATAGAATTAAAAAGATTGCCATGATAAAATGAAGAAGATAATAAAATCGTACAAATAAAAATTATCTAGTTAAAAATTCAAAAGAACGTCGTTCTAGCTCATTTTGCTTACAATATTTGGAATAATTGAAGTAGAACATGTACAAATGTACCGTTTCATTTGAAATGTATCTCGTGTATATGTTTGTCGTTTTTCCCCCAGGCCGGAATCATTGACTAACAGGCTGTACGCAATACCGGTCATCCCCCCTCCCCCCCTAAAAAAAAAAAGGATTTTTTTTTAAAACTTGTACATTCTGTTATATACAAGGATTAGATTATGTAAATGTACTGATGATTTACAAATGGTATTGTCTTAGATTCAGACCAGATGTATTTCCCAATGAACAGTTATAAGATGCCTTATCAATGAATATGACTCAAAAACGGATATAAGCAGATGTAACAACGGTAGTCGCTTGAGAAACAAGAGCCGTTGACCCTCAGAAGCACCTGCGTTCACCCCTATCATTGAGTGGGGTCCAACCTTGCCTTTTTGGGCCGTGGTGTTTTCTTTCCTTCTCTAGTTTATGACACCCTTCTGATATAGTCATACAGTTTTTGATTAAGCTTTGCTAGTATCTTGAAATTTCAATTCTCATAAAAAAATACTTTTTTACTTTCAATATATTTCAAATCTAAATTAATATGATGCATATGCATGAAGCTTGTAATGAATTAAATGATAAAAAGTAAAATAACAAAAATACCGAACTCCAATGAAAATTCAAAACGGCAAATGGTCAAATTAAAAGCTCAAAAACATCAAACGAATGGAAAACAACTGTCATATCCCTGACTTGGTACAGGCATTTCCTTATATACAAGATAGTGGATTAAACCTGGTTTTATAGCTAGCTTAACCTCTCACATGTATGACAGTCGCATAAAATTCCATTATATTGACAACAACGTGTGAGCAAAACAAAGACTTAACAGGTAAAAATGTCAAAAATTGGTGTACAGCAGTCAACATTGTGTTATAATCTTAATCACTATATGAACAAAGAAAAAAAAACAAAATGGCGTATAGACACATACATGTTATAATTCATCATTCTACACAGCTTTGGAAAGAAATCAACAAAACTGATTTCAGCTATATATTTTTGTACATGCATCATGTTTCAGATGACAACTTTGTAAAATCTTCATCTTTTCATTTTCTTTTCAGGAGCTACAAAGTTATGCAGACTTTGCCTGTCACTTTTGTTATTGGCGGCATGTGAGTATTAAAAAACACAAATGCTTGGAAAAGGCCATCTGAAAATAACCGACTATTTCCTGTTTAGATATAACTCATTGAAAGGAACAACGGTGTTCATTACCATGCTTATACAATACAAATACAGGATGCACAAATAAAATGCATCTCTGCCCCCGGAGACAGTTTTTTTTGAAAAAATCATGAAAATGGGCAATAATTTCATCGTAAAGAGAAAGTTGAATACACCTTTTTATGTTAAGGCGTATTGGAATTGACTATTTTGTCTTGTAAACTTATAAAGCAAAAATATTTGTAACATCATCTCGTTTAAGATTATATTATTTCTATATATTGAAGCTGCAGATGGTATAATATCATTAAAAATTCACAACTGCTTAAAATATATGGGTCAAGCGAAATAACTTTATAATGAGTCGTTACAACAGAATAGGTGTGTTTGAATAACATGTTTTTACTCAAAGTACTTAAAAAATCCTGCATTTGTGTGTGTTATATAGGGTTGTCCTCAAGCTCTGAAAATTTCAAGTCTGCCTTTCCACGCAATACTTTTTTTAAATGTTTTTGAACCTTTGCAAATTCTCCCTGGCAACCGATCAGACAATTGTAGTTTTAAATTGACTAAAGGCATTAAAGTACATTAAATGATGCTCAAAAAGTGGTAAACTCATTTGTCTTTTAAAATACAACTGGTATATAAGGATCGTAATGATACTATGTGATATAATCGCTTAAATTGACAGTGCGTCACCCCTACAATGGCTTCCATTTTTACGATTTTAAAAATTAGGTGGCGTAATGTGGATATAATTTTGATGAAGAAGATTCCTGCCTGATACACTGCATCTAAACAATTCAAATCTCGAATGAGCTATGAAATTCCGATTTTCGTGCTTTTTAAAAAAATATTAGAGTGCAAGTTGACATAATTTCTTTTAACAGATTAGGTACAATGAGCTTGCTGCTTTCAATAATACGTTCTTTTATATACATCTTATTTTTCCACTAAACGAGATTCAAAGTGCTACTTTTTTTTTATAAAACATCAAAATAATGACATTATTTATTTTATGTTGTTATATCAATATTTTTGTAAACGACTTACAATATGCAGTTTATCATCCTGAAGATTTTACGACTTCTGGTGCTAATGAAACAGAGACATTTACTGAGATTGGATCGTAACCTTTGGCTAGCGAAGATGCAGTTTCTAAGCATCCTACAAAAACGAATTTCTGACATAGAAAACTGAAGAAGATGTTTTATTTCCATTAAATGGGCTCACAAAGGAGTGGCGGATCTAGAAATTTTTAAACGGGAGGTCCACTGACTGCATAAGAGGGTGCCCGCTCCAATCATGCTTCAGTGATTCCCTATATACTCAACCAAATTTTTCCCACAAAAAGGGGGGGGGGGGACGGGCACCCTGTTCCCCCACCCCTAAATAATCCGCCTCTATAAAGAACAAAATACAATATAAGATATTAATAAGACAAAAAAAAAAAACAATAGTCAAGTATACATACAAAGAAAAGAAAAAGCAGTTTGCACATGAATAAACTACACACACATATAAATAAATATATTGTTGTAAATAGATATATATTGTATTTGGCAATCGTCAATGGCAGTCAGCAGGGTTTAAGAACATCAGTTGTTCGACCTGTTAGTCAAATGCGATTTGTTAAAATATACTTTCCACTTTTTTGGTCTTTTGGAAAATGTTGTTTGTGCTATATTTAGACCCCTCTACCAAGAAATTTGTTTTTATATGCACACGTATGAAAACTGCGGTTTTTTCAACGCAATCATAGGTTTGAACGTTGTTTTCAATTTAGACTTGTTTATATTTTTTCGTTTGGGCTTGTATTATACGTTTAACAGGGTTGTACCTCCTTTTCAGGCACACCCCAACATGATAAAGTTCTTTTAAGACTTTAAATAAATTGGCAATGTATCTTTTTTTGTTGTAGATTCACACACAAAGTCAGTTACAGTAAAGCAAGGTAAAACGGCGGAAATAGTATGTAAAAAAGCTGGACAAATTATAAAAATTACGTCTGCAGATTACGGAAAAAAACCGGGAAACGCAAACAAATGTAACGATCCCAATGCTGATTCAATTGTCAAAGGTCTTTGTGATGGAAGGACAAGTTGTTCAGTTGCCGCATCTGATGCACAGTTTACAAGTTCAACATGTACAGCTAGTGATAAACAGAAATTAAAGGTCAAATTCAATTGTGAAAATGGTATGTACAATAGAAAATATATAGAAATATATACAGTAGATTAACAACTCTTAGGGGACAACCATTTGATATTCTGTGGAGGTGGGATTTTTTGCGGATTGACTATCCATTTTTAATCTATTGCTACGCATGCAAAATTGTTCTGCTTTTTACCTTTGTACGCAATTATTTGCTCCTCCTAACCAAATATATGTCAGAAAATGTAAAAGAAATATGTAATTATTCTGATATTCAGGCGAAGTTCTACATACTCCAGTTGTTTAAAAAAGCTTGGTAGAATACGATGAGGACCGACAATTAATGATTTTAGGAATAAAACTCGCACTGAATTCAAATAAATTTAGAAATTCTTAACTTTACAGAGCAAAATGTTGAATATATGTTTTTTGCCATAAAACATAAATATTTTATTTCAAAGTATTTCTTCTTTTTTTCTTAATGGGTTATGTTTGAAATAACATTTTAGTTGATAAGATGGCGAGATTACACCACATATTGACAGTTTGAAGCACACATACTGGAAATAAACATAGAGCACAAACCTCACTCAAAAATATATTTACAGGGAAGTGTATTTTGTAATAATCTACTCAAAAGCAAACAAATATGTTGGGCAAAGCTTCTACTTAATGAAGCCAAATACAAAAAAAAAAAAGATTGCTTTAGCTGTATTCGGAATTTTGGATCCTAAATCCTCTTCAACTTCGTACTTTATTTGTCCTTTTAAACTTTTTTGATCCGAGCGTCACCGATGAGTCTTGTGTAGACGAAAGGCGCGTATATACAATTTTAATCCTGGTATCTATGATGAGTTTATATGTAATATCCAAAATAAAAATTGAGTAATGATGTTCCAAATAGATTTCGCAGGAAATTACACGCGACAGTTTAATCAATATTTGTCAAACAATATAAATGTACGGAAATTATACTCTATTGACATCAAATTATTTAACAGACAAAAAGAACAATAAAAATATCACAAGGTGATGAAAAACAGACAACACCATGGCCAAAAAGAAAATAAAAGTGACGAAAAGACATACAAAAGTCTATAAAACACTACACAGAAACCCAAAGACTGATCAACACGAACCCCCACCAAAAAACCGGGAGTGGTCTTTGGTGCTCGGGAAGGGTACGCTGATCCCTAAATAGTTGTACCCGTTGTGTTGCTCATTGCAAGTTAAAATTCAGTGATAAGTCACATTCGGTGATGTCATTCTCTAGGAAAAGAGGACAAGATTGTCACGCGACTACGACAATTGGGAAATATGTCTTGTTTGATAAATACTATCAACATAAAAGGGGGAGGGGGGGGGGGGGGGGAGTACTCAAAACATTATTTTACCACATGTTAATTCGCCGTTTCAGAATCTAAAGAACAATGGGGAATCTTATTGTTCGTACCCCAAAATGAAAACAACGTCATTGGTTGAATTTCAATTGTTTTGGACGTTATAAGCCAATCACAGCGTTTTGGTGTACACTTTTGAAAATATTGCCCAGAATGCCGTCTTTTGTTATATCTTAGTTGGTATTGCATGTCTCTTTTTGCAAAACTTTTTGAAATAAACATAAAAATGAAATCTTATTTTCATTGGATAATACTTCGTTGAGTTGTGTATAAATAACCGAGAAAGGAAAAGTTACCTTTTAACCCTTGCTATTTGGGAAAAAACTGAATTATTTTTGGAAACTCTTATACGTAATTCCCATGGAAATATCTTTTGTTTTAAACTTTCAGCTGAAGCAAAAGTACCAACTGTAAAAAACGGTGGAACACAAACTATTACATGCACTGGAGGATCTTTCATCTTTATAACATCAGCAAGCTACAGCGCGGGTTCGTGTTTCTCACCTACTGCACTTACTATAGTCCAAGGACTATGCGACGATTTAACAACCTGTAGCGTCACGGCCGATGATGCTACTTTTGCAGATTCATCTTGTGACGCCAGTAAGAGTGAAAAATTGAAGATCTCCTACGTCTGTCAAAAACGTAAGTTCATATATGAGGGTCTGGATGGGGTGTACAAAGTAGAGAATGATGGGCAAAAAGTGCAGAAAAGGGGGTAAAAAAAGTTTAGGGAATAATGGGGTTCTAAATTGTAAAGAATAGAGAATATTGGGCAAAATATAGATAAGGAATAGAAAGAAATGGTCTAAAAAATTAAAGAACAAAGAAATTAATGACCCCCACCCTTATAAAGACCCTCATAATTATACATTGTTTAAACGATAGGATAAGGTTTGGTAAATCTTTGGTGTCAAAAAAAAACAAAAAAACTTGCGTTTAGAGTTTTCTTACCTATTACTGTATTGTTATATCCTTAAAAAGTCTACACTAAATTTCATATTAGCACCAGTTAGAATCATTACAAAATTTCAGATCCCCGAACAAGTAAATTTTGCTGAGCAAAATAAAAAAGAAACCTATCTCGTACCCTTTTTTGCTCGGAAAGACACAAAACTATGTCATATTTGTGATGCGTAACAATTGTTTCGAAAAAATGTTGATGTCATTGAATGTGTGATGTTATTAGCAGCTTGAAAACCAAATCCTCTCAATATATTTTTACAGCAAGTGGTCCAGTGTATCAACGTTGGGGTGCCGTTACCTGTCCAAATTCGGCCTCTTTAATCTATGCCGGTGAGTACAAGCAATTTTTTAATTACAACGAATTTTTGAACATTGGAAAACGTAAGCTAAAGGTCATGTTATAAATTTACTGCTTTATGTCTTAGAAAAGAACAAAATGGGCGCATTTTTTGGAACAACTAACTTATTTTTAACCACTAAAACGGAATGTTTGGTCTACGATATGTTGTTTTTTTAGATTGTCAATAACTTAACCAGCGACAGAAATAAATTCAAGGTCGCCATACCATTTGGCCTGACTATTAAAAACTGAATTTGATGGTCAAAAGTAAACGATACAAGATATTTAAAACCGCAACTTTGTTCTGTACACCCATTTACCGTTCTATGACTTTTTTACCAAATACTTAAATGTCTGCGCATGTTAGCCAGAGTCGAAAATGAAAACTAGAGTAAAGGAGGAAGATAAGAAAAAATACCGAGAGTTATGACCGCGTAGTTATTAAGACCATAAGTTTTAAGGGCGCAAGACGTTTGCGCTTTTTAACCTGTAACTAGAAACGACATTTTCGCTTCAAACTCTATGGACATTTGCGCTTTAAAGGTTGATACACATATGCACAATTGAACGGACATTTGCGCTTTAAAGGTTGATACACATATGCACAATTGAACGGACATTTGCGCTTTAAAGGTTGATACACATATGCACAATTGAACGGATATTTGCGTTTTTTGCCTATTAAAGTTTACCTGTATGGAATTATCATTCTTACACGTACTACAAATTAAGAGTGGTTGTGGTTTGTTGAAGAATCTTTACGGCTAGAAAATTAAATTTTGGCCTTGATTCTTCAAGCAGTTTTATACTGTTGGATTTAAGAATGGAAACTATATTCCCCTTGTGTTTATGCTATTGCCCTGAAAATCCGAAGAATTTTAGCATCATTATTTGTCTAAGCATCTTTCAAATTGGTGAGACGGAAATTTGAATTTTAAACCAACGGCTTTACTTTGAAGTCATGGTTTTATTTACCACCCGCCCTCTTGAAATATTGTCGTTTTAAATTAAACACGCAAATGGTTGTGAAAGATTCAGTCATTATGGCTTTCTAGGGAATACAAAAAGAGAACATGTAAAGTAAGAAAATTATTAAATAAATTTTTCGTGCAATCATTTCTTCCAGATTACGAAGATTCTTTTCTTGATGATAGGATTGATTGATTGGTGTTTAACGCCACTTTCAGCACTATTGTGCTATTACGTGGCGGTAAGTTTCTATTGGTGGAAAAAAACGGAAAACCCGGAGAGAACCGCCGACAACCTAGTCAGTTAAGATTGGAGTCGAGCACACGTGCGGGATTCGAACTTGCAACCTCAGTGTTGGCACATTAAATAAGGGTTTATCACGACAGAAAACAAATAATCTAAAACAAAACAATAGAAAAAAATATCAGTGAATTTAATAAAAGAGAGAACAAACACGAGAAATAAAACACATACACACAAGAGGTCTGCTTTTATCACAATGTATCAAAGACTAACAACATTTGTTGTAGCAAAATCAGGCAACAATGGCGTTTAAACTCTTCGAATTGAGGAAATATAGATCACTGGCTTAAATGTGATTTTAGACAAAAACAAAACAAAAACTAAAACAAACTGACAATGAGAAAGTGACAAAAAAATTGTAGGCCTGATGAAACATTAATTAAAGTAGTATCGCTTAAAGTAGTAACATAACTTGTTAGTAGCTTTATTTTAGATGGAATCGGAATCGTGAACCATTTTCCGGTATATTTACATCGCACTTGTTCGTTAGACATTTATAATGTGTAGCTTCTATTTTTAGGCACCGAACATTCATCTTCGGGTTGGTGGGGGGTGATAAATTGTTCGATTCTAAATTTAAAGATAAAAAATCTTTTGTTTTAAAAGAGAATTACAAACAATGTATGTTTCCGTTGAAAATTAAAGGAAACACTTGAAATTCAAATAAAATTTTGTGTTACAGTATGTTATTGTAAATTTTTTTATATATGTATTAAAGTCAATAATTGTTTGTTTCAAGAAAATAGCTATGCCCCCAAAACAGATAAATTATATATGAATTACTAGTATAGTAATATTTTCATCTAACGACATCCATTGTTGAGCATTGTTTAATATTTATGTTGATTTACATTACAGGCGTTATGGGCGGTGCGAACTTTGGTGGTACTGGCTCAGGATCAAATTTCCTCTGCTTGCCTACAAACCCTGTTGTTGGTGGTAGCAACTTTACATTAGGTACGAACAAGGGAGCAATTTTCGGTACTCAGCTCATAACAGACAGTGCTGGACCGTTAAGTAATTCTCTTGACTCTCTCGAATTGACATGTGCTCTTTGTCAGACTAAGTCTGCAGAGACAACGTTTATGTACCCAGGAAGTTACGTTTGTCCTTCCGGTTTCACTGTTGAATACGCTGGTTACCTAGCTTCTGAAAAAGCTACATCCGGAAGGACTTCAAAAGGCTATCTTTGTTTGGATGCTTCTCCGGTTACTATAGATAATAGCTATTCAGGAGATGATACTGCTAAACTTTATTTGGTGGAAGGAAAATGTGGAGCACTTCCATGCGCAAATTACGTAGACAATAATGAAATACCTTGTGCTATTTGTTCAATGTGAAAAAAAAACTTTAAAAGGCATATGAAGAAAATAGAAAATTTAACCTTATTGATGTCATTAGTATGAAAGACATTAAAAGAAATTTGTTCTGGTATCCTCAAACAATGGTGAATTGTTTTAATTATAATTACCTCCATGATTAATTGGTGCGTGAATGGTGGATATAGCTGGTTTTCCTTCTGCCTTTATTTATTTATTTATTTATTTATTTATTTATTTATTTATTTATTTATTTATTTATTTATTCATATCAAACATTTGACAACACTTTTATGTTTAACTTCCAATTTAAATTGATTAAAACCTCTTTAATGTTACTTGTATTGTTTTGTTTACTGAAGTACCTAATAAATGTTTATCGCTTTAATAGTAACCATAATAATAAGTAAATCATGTATCTTCATATCTAAGAAAAGAACCCCAGTTTTGAAACACAAAATTTACTCACAAAAATATTCATATTATGCAAAAAAGACCAAATCAACATGAAGGAGCCTTTCGGTTGTAAAAAAAGGAGTGATCGCATGAATTTTGTTCCAAGTCAGAAACAAATCAATAAAAGTAATGAGACAGCAACCCAATAACTGAAATAAACAAAAAGACAACTAGAGGGCAACAGGAAGTCGTGAACAATAGACAGGTGACTATGCAATATCTCAAGCTCTAACTAGATCAAATCGTCGATAACTTAAACAAAAAAAACATATATAATATCATCGCCAAATTCTCAAGATAATCAAACGCATTTTAAAAGATTATATACGGCAACATCTGACGAGGCTTCTGCAATGTGGACAGACACATTTATAGTTGGCGTGATAAAACTATATTTTTGGGGATCTCAACCCTAGATATATTGTTTTGGTAAGCGACTGCGTGGAAATATAGATTTTACCAAATCTTTCTACCACTGCATTGAGTGTGATACGATATTTCTCCACTCGAGACAATACACGTATTTACACTTGTATGCAAATTTGTCCGCCATTACTTAAAGTCACACAAGTTCCGGTAAAATTTGACATCACAATCTAAAAAATTTGACGTCATAATTAAAAAGTGATTGTTGCTTGACGTCAGTAGGTTAATCGGAGACAGATCTAAGGTCATTCAGAGAAAAATTTTGCTTAATACCAAAAGTGTCATAATAGGAAATTCAGATGAAAGCAAGAAAATTGGACGTCATAATTGAATTTTGACTAATTTTGATCTCAACCTTAAACAGTCGGAAAGCTGGCCCCGGTTTGACTCCATTTCTTAAGACAACAATTGAAGTCATGTGACTACCATATTTGGGAATTTTTTTGTCATTTTTTGTTTAACTGAAGGGAGTCGATTTCATTCAAAAAGTCGTATCAAATGAAAACAAAGCGTGCTGTACGTTTTTAAAGGCAACTACGTATACTTTTTAGAAGTTGTAACATAAAGATAGTTTTGATAAAACGGGCTGAACTAGAATACGAAGCCTTCAAACCCGAGCTCGCAACCCGTCGAGTCAATTTCTTTCTTAACTTCTGGGCAACCTATGCTGAATTTAAATTATGTGATGAGACTTTTTATGAACTGGCCTGTGTCAAATTTGTGCCACTTAATACGCTGTAATACGCAAATGTGCCACTTCGATCTGTCAAAATGTCTGACGAAGCGGTTGCGATAGTAATTTACGAGTTAAGTCCATTTGTTGACACTTCAAACAAATTAGAACAATTGTTATTTTAGCACCATATGATGTTATTGACAAGTGAACATAATCAAAATAATAAATTACCTTTTTACAAAATACAATTGATTATATTTTTATACTACAGATATATGTAAAACATTTTAATAGGTAAATATATTTTATCATTTTCAAAATATATTTCCTGGACTGAAATAGGGCTTTGCAGTTACGCTGGATCATAAGATATTCCATGAGTTCCTTTAATATTTTGATATATATGTTTACTGCGATAACCAAATAGTACTAACATGTAGTGGTAGACGTTCAGACCCCACGTACAACGTATTTCGATCATTGTATAAAGTCCCGTTGCTTTACGTTGTACTCCCGTCGGGACACTACCGTTGTCCCGAGCCCGGTCGGGTCCTAAGTATAAATACAACCATCGCGTGGGTCCCTAGCAACCTGGATACTGACGTCAGTAACTGACGACAAGAAAAACAACTGACAACTGAAACTAACAGTTGGAAAGCAAGTCCTCGGAAACGTCCGTTGTCGTCAAGCTCTATCAGCAACAATAGCAGGGGGGATTGATTAGGTGGCGCTACAGTCGTTGGTGACGTCAAAAAGTCCGCGAAATAAATCGGCTAAAAAATCGACGTTTAAATTATTTTTTCAACTTGTCATGCTTTTATTATAATTGAATTTTTAAAGTTTGTAGATTTTGTGAACAATATAGTTTCAATACGACATTGAAACATTATCGAAAATAACTTTTATTTGCTATTACTTTATCCTGTCCGTTCTAAAAATTATCAGCCATCTTTTTTGTTCGCCAAAAACATCGAATTTATATAACTTGACGTTTGCGTATCCAAATACGGAATAGAACGTTAAAAATCTGAAATGAAACCGGGTAACCTATTTCAAATTTCTACACTATTATGAAGCCATCATTTTGTTACTCTAATACAACAATTTTAGTGCCCACAAGTCGTGTCATTTTGCAGCCGGTTTTGACTGATTTTCTAGTTCAAAACAGTGAATGTTCAGCTTCTTTTCATTGTACCTGTTTCCAAAGTACTCTAAAATACTGATTTTATTAGAGATATGAATGACATTGTAATTAAGAATTGTTGTTTTTCACAATTCCATACGATACCTCCATTTCAAAGTGACTAACACCCTTCTTAATCCCCTACACAAATTGACGGTGACATTGTTTTCTTTTTCAACATACGTCATATATAACGTTTACAAAATATGTGTCAGGGTCATGTGCATAGTGAAAATTTACACATTGGAAAAGTGAAACAAAGATCATCTTTATTGTGTTTGAAACTACGTCTTAGACAATTTCTTTCATACTGGAAACAAGTCTGACAAATCAATGAATGGACAAAAACACAAAAAAATAGCAAGAGAAGATGCCTTGCAAAATTTCTGGAGGAAAAAATCATATGAAAAAGGAAATGAAGGTCAGTTAATTATTCTTATAAGTTAAAAACCTTCTTGATGTGATTATCTCTGACTTTATTAATTAAAATAAGCTACAGCAATAAGTGCAAAAACTAGCATATCAAGTCAAACAAGAAATTTAATTCATAAAGTTGTTTTCTTACAAAATTGAATTTATTCAAATGGCAAATTCTTATCTTTCACAATCATAAAAGTAAAAGGCACAAGATTTGTTTTACCGACTATCATTTGTGATATAAATTTCCAATTATTAATTAGTTAAAAAATATCCAATACTTTGTTTAAAATATGTATACCAGCTGATACAGCAACCTGAAGAGCAGAAGCCCCATTTTTTTTTCAAAAAGTTTACTTTCTTAATCTATAAAATAGCCTACCCTCAGAAATTTGGCAAGGGCTACTAGCTGTGCTTGCTAATCTAATAATTGAATTTTACAATAATAATGATTTTAAAATTCAAAATTATGTCACTTATAATTTTAAGTATTATTTTTTACAGACTTTCTTTCAAAATTTTTGGTAAACAGATAAATTTTCTCAAATTCTGTAGGATATTTTCTAGGCAGTACTGTTTTGTTCAACTTAGAAACATAGGATTGACATAAAAGGTTTTTTTTGCTTAGAAGAAACTATTGTGACTCAAGGTCCCACTTTTTAGAATATAACATTTAAATGATCAGTATTATTTATTATTTTTATTTCAGAAAGATTATTTAAATTATATAAAGTATGTTTTATTGCATTAAACATTGTTAGATATAGATTATACCACTGCATCGAGTGTGATACGATATTTATCCACTCGAGACAGTTAAATTTTCAAATTTAAAACGCGAGGATCGCCGAGTGTTTTAAATATTTAAAATTTAACTGTCGAGAGTGGATAAATATCGTATTACACGAGATTTGGTGGTGGAATCTGTTTCTCTAATGATTTTCAAACAATATGCAGGCAAACTTCTTCCTTCTTTTTGAATGATCTGCAAAAAGATGTGTTCTTTCTATGTGACGTCATCAGGCATGGTCGCCTTTTTTCATGCCGTCACAATAGGAAATTCAGAGGAAAGCAAGAAAATTCTACGTCATAATCGGATTTTAACCAATGAAGAACTGAGATCAAACGAACCACACGTTGATTAATTTTTTTTTTATACAATGGGTGCAGAAAGTGATAAATTGACGAAGAATTAGAGAAAAGTATTTTACAAAATTTCTACTAGGAGTGATCCCATATCCCATTATAGAAAATGCATAGTAAATATCATCAGCCAGAGCTAATTTATATCAATTCAACTAGGTTTCTGAGTGGCATTTCTAAATTTTTACCAATTTTTTGTCTTCTAATTTTTACCACTAATCCTTCTCTGAAAAGTAGGGAAGTATCTCTTCTTAATATTATAATAACCTACTTGTAAATCGAATTCCATTTATTTTCTTCTTGATTTTTTAAAAGTAAACTCCTTTTTATTTTTTTTTTTGCTGGGTTTTTATTTTTGACTGGTGATATCAAGGGGAGATAACCACTGGCACAAATCGGCAAAAAAAAAACCACCGCTTCGTGTTGAAAATAACTTGACGTTTGCGTATCCAGAACTCTATTGCCTAGATATTCATATCGAGTGTTTGTCTTAATGAGATGCTTTATCAAATCTAAATTCAGCCCATCATTTTTAGTTTCCTCGAAAATATTTAGATTTTTCGATCAAGAGACTTGCCAATTTTCACGCAAATTTCAAGTTTGAAGGTAAAATTAAGAAAGAAGGACTTTTAGTTGACGTGTAAGTTTTGACGAGTGAAAACTATGTATATTAAAGATTATTTAGATCACTAACTTTTTATCATGACAGTGGCATTTTATTGAGTAAGAATGAGGTTTGTCTCAGTCGTTGTTTTACAAAATTTTCACGGTCAAGTGACTCTTTTGTTGCTGATAGACTTGGGGTCAAACCGTGACCTGCTTTCCAACTGTAACAATAACTAAGCTTTCCACTTGGTAAGAATTCTAGAACGTCTACCACTAGAGGAATTATATTGTTTATGTATTAATCCATGAAATAACATGTAAAGCAAATAAATCATCTAACGTTGTACTTGTTTATATCAAATATCGAACTGGGAAACGACGGAAGTACGAGTCACAAGAATCAGTGTTTACCGTGCCACAAAACATACTCT